TTAGCAATACCAACACGTCTAATATTAAAATAAGTCGATAACATTAGTAAATTTCAATAGACCTTAGTCATTCAAAACTAATCCTACGCGCAAAAATAAAAGTGACCTAAAAATTTCTTTTTTAACATTACGTAGCTCTTATGGGAAATGTGATCACCTGAGCAGAAATTTGCATTTTGTGGGATTTTCTAGCAATATTTTACTATGGACGTGTGCAGTTTTAAAGATAGAATATTTTTTAAATAGTTTTCTATATTTTTATCACAATAAACACGGTCAAGATTGTTGATAATCGTTCATCGAAATTTTAATGGGCGTGGTGTTTCCACTGACGTCACTCTCGCTGTACCATGACATTCTGCCATAGCATTGTGGTCTGTGATAAAATGCGCGCCGGCTGCTCGTTCTTCCTATTCTGTACCGCATGCTGTAACGTACCGTTATTGGCTTTACACTTTATGTAATATGCTGGGTAGATTAATGTTTGTTTGTATACGACTTATCCTACCTATTGTCAAACATGCCATAGAGGAATTAGTTTTCACCTTTTTATAACAATATCGGTACCGGTACGACAGGCTATCTGTACCTAGTATTACCCGGTACCGGTACGCTTATGGTAATAATTATACAGTTTTAAACTTATCAGTATGTGACAAATTAATTATCGTGTTGGAAATGTAACATTCAAATAATTTTTACATTAGGATCAGACTGTACAGTTTATTATATAACATATCATTTAAAAAATGTCAAGCCGAGTTTGCTGCGTCGTCAAATGCACCAATCATGGCTATAAACTACAGAAGTGGAAATCACCCAACTGCCCCATTCATAAGGTATCGAAATGCGAAAAGGGATGTATTTGTACTCCACCGTTTGAAAATAGGTCTCTCATTAAATGCTAAGCGACGGCATGTCGTGGTCCCGGCATTCAGTTACCGGTACTACAGAATAAGAAGAACAAGCAGCCGGCGCGCATTTGCTATGGCAGAATGTCATGGTATAGCGAGAGTGACGTCAGTTGAAACACCACGTCCATTGAAATTTCCATGAACGATTATGTGATTTATCTTCAAAACTACACACGTCCACACTAAAATATTGCTAAAAAATGCAAATTTCTGCTCTGGTGATCACATTTCCCATAAGAGCTAATGTTAAAAAAAAACGTCACTTTTTTTTTGCGCGTATGATGGGTTTTAAATGACTAAGGTCTATTGATAAAACGTGATTTACCACATTAACAGTAAGCAACACAATGTCCATTAGTTGTTTCAGCAACATATCAACTACCGATACTGTTTTTTGCAGATTAGACTACGGTACTTTGACATAGAAGCTTCTAGCAGAATGCGCATTGTAATTGCCTTTATTATGATGCCAACGACGTGATAATGGCTGTTTACAACTTGGTTGAAACCAGTTGTGTACAGAATTTTCTACTCAGAAAAGCTTGATATATATATACTTTAGGTGGGGTTTAAACTTGTCAAGTTTCAAAAGAATTACAAACTTCGAAACCGAATTTTGAGGCCCCTCTACGTTGTGGCCCTAAGCTTAAGCCTGCCTAGCCAATTGGTAAATCCGGCCCTGTGTAGCGACGCAGTCAAAGCTACAAAATATCAAACATATTTGGCCATAAAATTTGAATGGCTTATCATACAATCGTTGCAAAAGTGTCCATAGCAAGACATTCAAATCCTCCAGTAATATTCAATTGCTGTACCGGACAATGTTACATTGCTGCGCAAGCGAGGAACGAAACAGTATTGGAGGGGACAAAATAGATCCAATTGTCCAATAGTTGGTGTCAACGTTTCAAAGGTAATTTTGTCCTTACCAAAATGTATCGGCCGATGGAACCATGATTGCATATGAAGGCAGAGTCTCGTCAGAAGATATATGCCAAACAAACCAGTCAAGTGGAGCATCATTGCAAGAACGATCGCGGACTCAACAACTGGTTACGTTTTCAACGTAAAAATAGATTATGGCAATCCTAATATGGAACAACGTCACGAAAACTCCGAATTCAGTGTTGCAACTAATGGAAAGTCATCTAGATAGAGGATATCACGTATTTGTTGATATTGATAAGACAAATTAGATAATTTACATCTCGGCGCCATACTGCGTTCAAATTTGGATATTGAATCATTGTCGGATATATCAAACAAAAGCGCAAACTGTTTTATCACAACTAAGTTTCATTCATTTTTATTAATATTTTTCTTTTTCATTTAGACTTATAACTCTGTCGCATTAGCCGAAGAATTGCAGAGGAGAAAAACATCCATAACCGGAACAGTTATGGCGAACCGGAACGGACTTCCAGCTGAAATAAAAACAAAACTAAAGAAAGGGGAATTCATCTCACTACGAAAAGGACAACTACTCGCACTATTGTGGCAAGATAAGAGGCCGTTTTCGATACTTTCGACGAACTGTAATGGCGGCAATTTCATAGAGAAGCAGTTGATATTTTTGTGCAATTAAATGATTATGTTTTCTTTGTTCGAATTTGATGTTTTAATTTCTGTTTTCGAATTTTATCTTTAGCGCAATGACAGATAAAGCCAATCAAATTATGTTATATTCCCTTCGTGTCAAAAGCATTATTGGCCTTTCATATCACAAAAATGTAATGTAAACTATGTCTGAATGCACGATAACATTCTATTTCATTTGAAATGTCACGCAATGTAAATAAATATAGGCGTTAAAAATAGCCAATATTTCAAAATATTATTTTTATTGATAGGGCTCCGAGAAAATTCAGCATGAGAGAGCAATGCCGGCAAGATACGCATGCGTAGGTGAGGTCTTTGAGACTGATGTGTCGGAATGAACAGAAACTGATGACACCACTAGGTTCTCCCTTTTCCCGATCAATTAAAAACTAAATACGAGAGAGAATAAATAGGAGAGAACTCTCTCGTTTTCACCTTGGCACGGAACGGTAAAATTTAAAAAGTGCCGATGAGTTTGTTTAGGCCTTTTCAAATTGCACTCTATAGCGAAGCTCTTCCCGCATGCTTTACAACATTATAGCCTTTCTCCAGGTATAACACATATAACGACCTCTCTCTGCGTATGCTTCTGGAATCCCTCGCTCTCAAAAAGCTCTTCTAAATTCTCATTAGATTGGTCTTATGGATTGGTCTGAGTTTTACAAAAATACGGCCCACTAAAAAGTCGTTGAAACTCTTATACCGACTTTAGCGCACATTACACTTATCTAATTAAAAATTCGAATAGTATACTGCTGGTATAATATTCAATAGTAATTATTGACTTGATTGATCTTATTTTTGTACCAGTAAGCTCCAGACAGGATAGGGAAAACACCCAAGGGGATCATTTTGTAGAACATAAAAGACTCTGCTACAACATAAGTTTGCGAGGGATTTCCTAAATCTGCAAAACCCCATCCAGTTAACTAAACACAAACCAATTTGATTACTTTGTTCTTTAATATCTGATTCAAACACTTCTAAGAGAAGAAAACACTAGGAAAACAATTTGCACAAAAAAAAAACACAATTTCAAACACTTCTGATTTATATTCAGTCAGCCAATCGTTCGTTGCAAAAACACACATAACATTTAATGCTTCTCATATTGTTCTGAAATACAAAAGTGAATTTTACAAACAGCAATGAAATAAAAATAACTGAACACAATTTAATAATTATTCCTTAATATCTAGTTGATATAATTCTAAGCAGAAAACACAAAAAAAACTGCTAAAAATATTTGCTCAAAGCTAATTTAAACTAGAACAAGATTACCAATCATAATTTTCTTTTAGCAATGTAATAAACATGCTTTTCCCGGACAATGAACTGATAGGAATGTCGGTATAGTCCTAACGCTACTATGTACAATTCAACAAATACATCAAAATATCTGAATTACGTTTCATAATTCATTGGAAATAGTTCTGGTTAATAAATGTGAAATAAAAAAAATGTAAAATCTGCTAAGGGTTAAGCTTAAATGCAAACAAGCAAGCTAAAGGCATATGCATGATCAGAAGAGCAAATACGATGATTTCTTAAGCTACAGGTCGTAGGTTTGTATCTCACTTTTTCCTCCCAAACCACTAGAAAGGGAAAAATTAGAAAAGCCGCGTTATATTGAGATTGTTCTCTTTGTAAACGGGAAGTTTGTCTAGAGCCCTGTTCATGTGAGGGTTCCCAGTAGAACATAAGAACTGTAGTTGATTCATACGCAAAATATTCCTCAAAGGTCAAAATAGTCTGAGTACATAATTAAATACTTCTGAGCAATTCAGTAAGCAATGAAACTGTCATAAAAGCATAAATATATCCGCTTCATTTACACTACAGAGGTTGAATTTCTGCCTGAAGTAGAGATTAAGATCCCTGGTTTAATTCCTGGAAAACTCAACCTACTTCCCATGTCCGCAAATTAATCAAAAAAGGTATTGAAAAATCTGAATATTAAACATCAGAAGTATCGAAAGCATTGTTAGGAGCGAAAACAAATGCATTTTACGAATTTATTAGGGGGTGCGTATATGACGGGTATTGATGCAGAGTTTGTGTTTCTAGTTTCAGATCAGGATTCGAAATTGTAAAGTGGAAGACAATGAGTTTCCGTGGTAAAAATATTTTTAAAGCCGAAAGTTAGGGACGAAAATTATTGGAAATGAAGCTAAGTCCAAACTTGATGTCGGGAATCGCGGTTGGGGCCCTGGTTCGACATTGCAGTGAAAGATTACAGCCTTTCTGTATTGTTTAATCTTATAAGTAGGAATACAAGAATATAGAAGCACACTAATAAACAGAAATATTCACAAACGGGATAAAATCTTTTTTTAGCCGCCATTATAATGGAATCTATTTAAGTTTCCAGTTAAAATAAGATTGAAGTAACTTCTTAACAATTCAGGAAAAATCTCTTGTTTTAAAATATCATAAAGTGAAGACAGTTTACAATAACATAATGATGGTTCAATGCAGTGTTTTGAATTAGAAGCCTTTGGAATCAACCCCGGTATCAGCGATCAATGCTTCGAATCTTCCCAACTGATCATCGTTGAAGCGGCAGTATTCCATCTTCAATGTTTGAACCTGACATTGATGAACAATTTCACTGATTGTAGATAATCCTTCGTCTCCTAGTTCGCTGACTTTGTTGAGACTCAGATCCAACCAATTGAACTGAAACAAATCATGAAACTTGTTACTCAGACATAATTCATGGTTTGCAAATGTACAACTGAGGAAGGAAGATAAGAAGAATTATTGTATTGGATCATGTAAGGTCCATACATAAATCAATCATACAAAATCCGTAGAAGAATATTAGTCGTGGATTATAACTGATTGATTTCCATTCTCCATACTCAATACACATTAATGGCTTGTTAAAGATTACAATGGACGAGCAGACTGAATTCTGGTGTTTACTGCTGGAATCCAGTTAGGCTAACTTCTTAAGTCGAAGTCAAAATTCAAAAATCTTCGAATGGATGTTTGGAATTTAAATCTCAGCTAAGTAGTTTGAGTCACCGAGTTCGTTCAATCATTTTATGTTACAGCGTTAGTAATGTCCTTTATTCTTAGCATGGGCCATCAGTCTTGTCATCCAGGTTTTATAATGCTAATTGGCTGATGGTTGTATCAAAATTAATTACACTGGCCTACACATTTTTAGTGTCCAAGGTTTCTAAGCTGATTTAGATTAATTTGGGGGGCTGAGTCCAAAAATCATACTAGTTTTTCTCATCAGGTCAAATTGTTGAAATATTTGCTATTTTTTACCTTTTTTACCTTAAAATCAGGGGTATTTCTATATGAATTTTAGCGTTATAATTACAAGTGTAGGTTTTTATTGTGATGTATGCTAAACGATTATGACATCACACGCCTTGTAAAAATCAAATTTTTTATATAAAAAAGTCAGACATGAAATAAATAAGCTGCATTGTTTTGATTGAGTTGCAGATTTTTGGAGCCGAAATAAAATATGGCTACATCTTCTCTTAGGCGACATTGTTTAAACCAGTGGTTCTCAACCTTTTACTGACCGCGTACCACTTTACCGTTTTTACTATGGCCGCGTACACCCGACAAAGCCATTTTTCGGCGTGGGGAAAAAGACACAAGAAACGTGCCGTGGGAGTATTTCATAATGTGGCATCACAACCTTTGTGGCGTAACACGCAAAACGGACAAACACATGCTCATATTGCTTCATTTAATAATGGCAAAGCGGGCGAGGGCGATCTCTAAAGACAAGGACTGTTAGCGCACCAGCGCTATGGACGTTTCCCCGACTATTGGCACCGGAAAAAGTATCCCTATACTTTACTATTGTATAATTTATGCTTATTCTGAGAGTGTTTTGGTATGTTGGCGCTTATAAACTGGTTTACGTGTTTGAAACCATCATTTTTATTGAAATTAAACAACCATGCGTCGTTTGCAGGTACTGATATAGCTAAGTTTAGCTTTGTCCATCGCAGCATTTGCGAGATTTGTTTTTAATTACTGCAACTAAAGTAAAGCTCCGCGGAAGACATAATGACAATTAAGTTAATTAATTCACAATTATTTTCTCAAAAGCCAGAAGCCTATTGATTTTGGATAAATTATGTCGTATAATTAGCGAGTTATTATTTAATTAGTGATGGGACACGCGGTGTCACTATAGGGTCAGAGCGAATAAATCGAAAACCGCAGTTTCTGTTTTGGGGATCCCCTAACTTTCGATCGATAAGTCTTCGGTCTCCAACCGATATTCTCGCTATTGACTTATTGCTGATTGGTTATGGTTAAGGAAATAAACAAGAAAACTGATGCTCCGGTAAACATCCATTAACGCTGTTTAGCGAATACATACAGTAAGGAAGATAAAGCTTTGCCTGCATATTGTAGCCAACTGAAAGGTTAATTGTTGCAATAATTTAAAGTTGCTCGCGTACCGCTTAAAAAGCTCCCGCGAAGTGTGCTTATCTTGCCTACTTCAATGTAATGCTGGGTGATCAAGATAAGGTATGGGCACTCCATATTGTATGCAAGCAATGTGTTGAGCATCTTCCACAGTGGACAAAAAAGGATAGAAAGTCACTCCGCTTTAGTATTCCAATGGTCTCGAAAGGCCATTTTCATAGCCTTTTTCTAATGATCTGAATAAAGATTTCAAATTTTCTAAAGAATCTCCTGAATTTTAAGTTTCGGGTCTCAAAGAAAAAAATCTACTTCAGTCGAGAACTCTCATAACATTCTATAGAAAATGCCATATCGAATTCTTGTCATATTTCACTCAGGAAAAAGACATAGTATATTGCAACGATGTTGCTGGCTTGCTGCGGCAGCTTGGTGTCCAACATTGAAGCTTTTTTATGAAAAGTTCCAAAAAAAAAAATTAAATGTGTTTTTCTTCACAATTCTGGCTCCTCCTTGGGTTGAGCGTTCCAAAATTGTGTTTCCTCCTCTTCGCGTAAAGCTTGGCAGTTTGTTAATGCTCTTGAGAAAGACGACGAATGTTTCAAATATATTTGCAGAAAATTTTCAGGTCTAACCACAAAAAAGTTTAAAGCTGGAATTTTGATGGACCCCAGATTCGAAAGTTAATGAATGACACACCTTTCTGTAATTTTATGAATCCATGGACGGCGTTTACAAATGTAGTAATATTTGTTTTTGGGAAAATCAGAGGCGCCCAACTACAAAAAGCTTGTTGAAAAACTACTCACAAATCTCTGTCAACTTGGTGCCAATATAAGCATCAAGTTATTTTGCACAGCCATCTTGCCCGTTTTCCAGAAGATCTAGGTGATGTGAATGATGGGGCAAGGGGAGCCCTTCCATCAAGATATAAGCGGAATGGAAGTTCGCCATCAAGGTCGTTGCAACCATGTCTGCAGACTACTGTTGGTCTATCAAGCGCGATGATGCCAGTCAGTAAAACGTCAATTTATAGCTGATGACATCTATTAGTTAGCATTTATTACAACTTCCAGCTTTAATTGTCAATATTTTGGTGAGATTCCATGAATATGTTCAATAAAATTACAGAAAAATGTTGTTTCTTTAATTTGCCTATCTTTATTGTAGCTATCGGCATCCTGCAAAGAGCGATATACCATAGAAAATAAACTAGACATCATAGAGAAAAGTAACAGCATTTCTGGAGTCAGCGCCCTCAAATTTGCTAAAAACGTTCAAAACATCTTGGGCACCATGAAAAAAAATTTTTTTTTGTTGGCCTGTGTTATCGATAAGAACTCTAAGGCAGTGGTCGGCAACCTTCTTTAAGTAACGGACCGGAAAAGCCTGGCCAAAATTTTCGCGGACCACTCTTATACAAACGAACTAAGCCTATGTAAAAAATATGACGTGTTGGATAATTTATGTTTGAAATATATTCCAAAACAAAGGTGATGCTATGTAATCTATTTTAATGCTGTTCAATGCGAGATTCGCATTTGTCGTAAGGTTTGTGGTTGTTAGATTGTGGAGGTGTTATTTGGGTCTTGTCCGTTTTTGTGTCACTCTTCTGCGGACCGCTAGTAACCTGTCCGCGGACCGGTAATGGACAGCGGCCCGGTGGTTGCCGACCACTGCTCTAAGACATCATGCTCTTTGTTCATAAGATGTGAAGGAATAAAATCTACAGTCTATGTTCCTTTGTTGAGAGTTCAACGGCGTCCGAAACTATATTTTTTCTACGGCATATTACTTACAACCACCCACCGCTAACAAAGCACTGTACAAGCAGCTACTGTTATACAAGGTATTACTATATTCAGGATGGACCGAAATCGTTCGTCATTTCCACCGGCATTATTGATGGGATTTGAATGAAACTTTTGTGAAATGGGACGCCGGCATAGTTCAGTCGACAACATGGGAGATGCAATGGGAAAGGCGTCGCAGGTTACAGACTCTGCACCATTCCACCCAAGACGCAATAAATTCGATAATCTCTGCCGAACCAGAATGAAACCACTCATTTAAATACATTATATCCTTATGTTTAATTAGTGAATGCTGGTGTCGAGCATTCAGACATCAAAACCTCCCCAAACCATTAAAACGTTGAAAGCGATATTATTGACTGTGAAATGCCAGGATATTTAGATCAGAAAACGCATAATATCAATGAACTCTACGTTTCTACCTCATTTTTATTTATTTCATTCAAAAAAGTTTTTAGAGTATTCTACACGGGCATTCAATTGTTGGCATCAACTAATGTGGCATATGAAGCAAAACGATATCTAATGTAACCAGCAGTTAAATCTGAATTTTCCGAATTTCATGCATTTTATTAATGATGGAGAAACTTCATAATGCAAATAGTGATTTGCATCCTGGTTGTTATACAATTTAATTAATAATCCTAATTGTTCTGTTTTGGTTTAAAAGCCATTGAACGTAGCAAAGACTTTTTTCCTTTTCTATTGGCTGCTTGTTTTGAGCCTTGTTCGGAGTGATGGTATTGAAACTATACGAACTGAATAAACGATATGACCCCGAATAATTTCTTATACTTTAATATTAACTTTATGCAGTTTTTATTTTTTTCACTCAAATATATAATTACATATTAGCATAGCCACGCTAGATTCAATATCATCAGTTATATGTGGTCCTAGCTTGATCCGTTACACTAATCTCTAAATAACCAATGTTTCATTTCGAAATATTTGTACCTTTGCATCCCGAACATTTTCCTTGAATGCTTTCATTTCTTCCGCTGTCAGATTGCATGCCTCCATTCCAACCTTCTCTACTCCACATTGTGACACAATAATACCTGTGACTGCCAATCCCTCAACACCAAGATTTCCATTGTAGCTGACATCGAGTTTCTTCAACTGAATGAATAATAACATTGATGATTATAATATGCATGAGATATATCCATGTGCCACACTTGGGCCATAGTATTAATGAAATACTCCGAATAATCATTGAGCGCAATGGTGCAGTGGTTTACTCAGTAGCATTAACTTTATTAGAATCATAGGTCTCGGGTTCAAACCCCTTACATGTCACGTCATCCAGTATGTGTGAATTTTTACAGACTCTACACAAACCTGAAATTGGCAGTTTGTCACATACTAGGGGTTGTCGGCCTGGCGACTTGTTCGGTGCCAATGTATGAGACACTCATGAAATATAAGTGAGTACGATGTGCTTGGCCTATAGATGAGAATCATTGATATCAAAGCAGAATACCTTGATAGTTACATCATTTCTATGTATTGAGTTCAATTAACCATGAAATGCCATTTACCTTCAGTGATATTTTCGTAAGTACTACAAACCAATCAATACAACACTGCATTACTCAATATTTTTAATACGACGTGTCACAATCCCCACTCCTAACAAGGCTCTGTTCCATCAACTACGTCATAAATCGCATGACTACTCATGCGATTTACTTAACACGTTTTGTCCTTGGTCGGAGTTTCCGGCCAGTCGATGGTTTGAGTTGGTCAATATAGGGTGTTGCTACAACGTCTATACTTGTGTATTTCTTGCAAACAAAAGGAGCTTAAGAATACAACAAAATGGCGACGAGAATGGGATACACACATGTGGATGAATAGTAAATTTACATCGATTGCAAAGACGTTGGTGAGACACTGCTATTGTTTATATGCGCAAAGACGTTGGCGAGACACTGTTATTGTTTATATGTGGGACCGCGTAACAAATTCCCTGTAAATCAAAGAAATGGCTAAGAATATGATCCAATATGATGGGGGTGATTGGCCGCTTTATTGTGAGCAATTAGAACAGTATTTTATTGCTAATGATATTGCCGTTGAGAAAAAGGTAGAAACGTTAATTGCGAACTTGCCTACTAAAACCTACCAAATACTACAAAATCTTTTGGCACCCGACTTACCTAGTTCCAAAACATATGATGTTATAAAGAAAACCTTGCAAGATCATTTAAAACCGAAACATTCCGTTTTTGTGGAAAGGTTCACATTTCACAGAAGAGATCAAAAGTTTTCTGAAGGGATTCGTGCATATGCAGCAGAGCTAAGAGAATTGTCTGAGGAGTGTAAATTCGGTCCATTGAGGGATGATTTCATTCGCGAACGCTTAATTTTTGGTATACTCGATGAGGCTACTAGAAAAAGGTTAATGGCAAAAGATGAGGAAAAAATTAGATTTTCAAAGGGCATTTCAAATTGCAACGTCAATGGAATTGGCCAACAGGGATGTGGCCGAAATATCAAGTGGCAGTGTTATGCCAATGGTGCAGGAGCAGTATTTTTCTAGAAAGCAACGGTTTATTACATTAAAATGTAAGCACTGTGGTAAAACTGCACACGATTTCAAAATTGTCGTTACAAAACCTTCCAGTGTCTTACCTGCGGCCGCCGAGGTCATATTCAACAGGTTTGCACACGACGTAAGCCAGTGGTGTCCAGAGAAAAGACGTAGAATGACCGACGCGATAATGATAAACCACGAAGTACAAATGTTATGGAGAACGACAGCAGTGATAGTCCTAACTTGGGGAATTCGTCGTTTATAGAAGTTGGTAATTTACGTATGAATAACGTACTTAGAAACGAAAATGGTGCAATTTGGCTTTTTCCGATTATCAGTGGGAAAATACTAAGAATGGAACAAGATACGGGATCGGCTGTGTATATCATTTCTAAAAATGTTTACAATTCACATTTGTCTCATATCCGTTTAAATGATACAAAAATTTGCTTAAAGACTTATTCCAGGGAAAAGATATATCCATTGGGTGTCCTTGAATTCGATATAGAAATTAATGGCCAAAGTTGTAAATCCAGATTGTACGTAGCAAGCACAAACGGTCTTAAGAAAGACCGTAATATACGACTTTGCGTTGACTTTAAAGTGACTGTAAATCCTGTTCTTTGTGTAGATCAATATCCATTACCAACAATAGATGACCTATTTACATCTCTTGCAGGAGGACAAAAGTTTAGCAAAATAGATTTGAAACAAGTATATTTACAAATGGAGGTTGAAGAGGAGTCGAAGGAATTGTTGACAAATAATACTCATAAGGGATTGTATAGGTTTAATAGGATTCCATTTGGCATGGCATCCACCCCGCCTATTTGGCAAAGAACAATTGAACAAATATTAAACGGGGTTCAAAGAAGCAAATGTATTCTTGATGACATGTTAACAACGCGTAATAATAACATTGAGCATTTGGACATTATTGGAAAACTTCTTATGCGTTTGCAACAATATAATCTCAAAGTTAATAAAAGTAAAACTGAATTTTTTAAAAACAACGTTGAATTCTGTGGATACAAAGTTGATTGTAATGAGCTTCACAAAACTGATGCTAAAATTAAAGCCATTCGTGACGCACCGAGGCCGGATAACGTCAGTCAAGTGAGATCGTTTATTGACATGGTTAATTACTATCAAAGATTTATTCCGAATTTGTCATCTGTACTGTATCCTTTTAAATTGTTTGCTCAGGGCTAATTGCAGATGGAAGTGGACTAAATACTGCGAAAAAGCGTTTCTTGAAGCCAAAAAGCTTATGACCTCGAGCACTGTATTAACTCATTATGATCCTCCATTACCTTTAAAACTGGCTTGTGATGCTTCACAGTATGGTCTCGGGGCGGTAATGTCTCATGTAATGGAAGATGGTTCCGAACGTCCCATAGCATTTGCTTCAAAATCGCTTACCGAAGTACAAAGAAAATATTCACAAATAAAGAAAGAGGTCCTTGCAATTATTTGGGCGATCAAAAAGTTCTATTGTTACGTATGTGGGAGGAAATTTATTCTAGTTACCGATCAGCGTCCTCTAACGTCTATTTTCCATACAAACAAAGGTATCCCTTCTACAACAGCTGCAAGGTTACAGAGATATGCTTTGTTTCTAGCAGGTTTGGACTATGAAATTGAATTCAAACCAACGGCAAAACACTGTAACGCAGATGGATTATCTAGGATGCCGCTTCAACTACAAGAGAACGAAAGTGAAGACGATATTACTGATGCTACAATAAACAGCTTTGCCATTTGTGACTCTCTGCCGATAACGTGTAAACATGTTAAAAATACATTTCACTTTCCTCTTTTTGTGACGCCGTAAAATATACTGGGAATTCCTGAAAGAACGATGGGATTTCACTGTACGTCATCTCTTCTGTATTTCTATTAGCCAATGTATTCTCTCGTTTTCAAACGAACCAATCACAGACGCTTATTTTCTCGCTCCAAAACGTATGCGGCAAGCTATAAAGCGACTGACTGTCACGAACCGCGATCCCCGATTGACCAAGAAGGCGAGTTCTTCCGTTTTAATGAGGAAGTTGATCAATGTAAGAGGTTTGAGTTATACTGATGGGTAGGGCCGATACCAGTATATTACCGAACTATGTGATAGCTATATAATGTCCGAAAGTTAAGATGACTTATAGGCCTATGTGTAAATGCTCCAAAAATGAATTTAATTTGTTTCTTAACAAGTTGTCAGAAATCTTTCAAACTACTAGCATGATGGTCAAGCATTTCAATTAGAGTAGACTATAAGAATCAGTAAAAGATGCTGTTATTGCGGGAGATACCATATGATAAAAGCATCACACGAAACACAGACGTGATATCAATAATGTAACAATTGCTGATTGCAGACATTCAGACAGGGTGACCCCTACTTATTTGAGAGTGGATTTCTAAACGAACATTTCACCAACAAGGCAGGGCAGAATGAGTTGCCTCAATAACATCGACGAAAATCGATCAATGTCTGCAGGTAAGTGTTACCAATAATGCATGTCTACGTAGTGGGTTACAGAAAGAAATGCTTTTACCATATGTGGTCATAGTACAGTAGTAAACAAAAATCAAGTGAGACACCCACAAAGGATATAACTTCGATATTAGGTTTCCTAAATCTCTAAATTACCAATATAACTTTCCAATTGTGCTAGCATCGGCCAAATTTGAGCAATGATGAATAAGACCTGTTAAATATATCTCTCACGTGCTCGTTCGCAAGTAGGAATTATGATTCTCATGTTATACACTCGAGACTCATTTCTTGCTGTTCACACTGTGGTTTTCCTGTTCTTGAGCAAAACGATCCACCATCTTAACTTGATGTTTGTCAATAGCACTGCGTTGTAAGTCTCTCCAAATATGTAGGCTTTGGGTTTGAGCTAAGTACACTTTCCTTTTTACAAGCGGTTCTCTGACATTCTAATATTCTTACTATGTGTCTATTGAGAGGATAATATTGGCAACAGTGGAGGATTTTTTAATGGAATAACGTATGTATTCATGGCATATTTTGCCTTTGGTGTACCCAAAGAATACTGCTGCTATTTTTGAGTTCATTCCCTATGTAACCTTTCTGGCTGGAGAATTTTGTATACCCCTCCTAAAAAAGGTCATAACTTTTTGTTCAAACGTGCGAGAACCTTCAGTTTAATTCATCGGGAAGCGGGTATTCGCCGCTTTATGCCAAGATGTGTCTCGTTGATGCGTGTGATATTGCTTACCGTGTGCGTTGTAAATGAGAGAAATGTTTTTCCCTAAAATGGGGATTTCCCTAAAACAGTTTTTTTTTTTTTGGAGGAAAATTTTATTGGAAACTTCATTGTAATAGTCTAGGTGTCGGATTCCTGTCTAGGGTTTTTGATATTTCATAGTTATATTCCCTGTATTCTATGTAAGGACATCTTGAATTAAAAAAACTCAAAATCGTTCAAACAAGTGTATTTTTTCTAGATTTGGGAAACTATAGCCAAGAGATTTCACAAGTAAGTCCTCATATGCAGGTCAACCCATACCTTCGCTCATAGTACTGTCCTATTGGTTAAGGACGTTAACGTAT